AAAAGTTTTTGATGTGATTTATCATTGATTTGATTAAAAAAACTCGTTAATTCGATAAATAATTGTCATTAACTTCTTTAAATTTTAAATAATTCCATTATTTTTCAGAAATAAATAGATTATTGGGTAAGATGAGTAAAATAATGATTAAGACAAGATTTTAAAATAATATTGTTTAATTAAATTTAAGTGCAGAATATGCATGTGGTCCGGTAAATCATTTCATTAGAGCTCGAGATTTTAGACTAACTTCGAATTGGTTCTAAGTTAAGTTACATGTTTAGAAAAATATGGAAAGTGTATGATTCAAAAACTGTAACCCAAAAAGGCTTGTAACCAACAGGAAGATCACATGGTGGAATTCTGAGCTGGAAAGACTTAGGTGTACGGTGAGAAAGTTGCTTCATAAGGCAAAGAAAAATAGGATACAACAGGCCTGGACATTGTACCATAGAGCTGATTTTCACCGTATAAAGTTTGGCGGGCTACATGCCATGGCATGAATTTAGGTAGGCCTCTTTGGTGGCCTGGCGACGGTTTGCAGTTGCATTGGTATCCCTGACGTCAGGCCACCAAAGAAGCATACCTAAAGTCATACCTGGGCATTTAGGCCTCCTAACTTTGAACGGTGAAAATCCGCTCATACTCTGGAAAAGATTAATTGGGCCTTAGGCTCTTTTAAGCCATTGAAGGCACTAGGAGGGACTGCATATATCCGATTCTCTTGCAGACCGGATAACAATATATTCGTCTACCCTTGATTAAAATCATGAGAGCATGTATAGCTCTAGATTACACTCCTGAGGCATGAAAAATAACTAAGGTTTTGTTTATTCCGAAGGCTAGATACTTTTCTAAATATAGAGAGTACCTTCCCTAACATTTGTAGTCAAACAATATTCAATGCGTTTAGAAGATGTGGCATACCATATTCATTATTTATGTGGATAAAAGGTATGCTCCATAACAGAGCCCTGGAAGCAGAATATGGAGAGGCCAATATAAATGGCCTAATTTCCTATGGTTTCCCACAAAGAGGAGTTTTATCACTTTTATTGTGGAGCTTAGTAGAACTCAATAGCGAGGGATTTTATACGCAAGGCTATGCGGATGACTTCCTGATTATTGTAAGAGGTCTCAGTTAAATATCTAGGAGTAATTCTGAACAACAAGCTGATCTGGAGGAAGCACTTAGAGTATCAATATAGTAGGTTTTGCGCTACTTTTTGGGTTTGCAGGAAGGCAATTGGATCATCTTGGGGTCTAAAAACAGATATGGTTCAATGACTCTATTGTACAGTCATGTTGCCAAGGTTTCTACATGCATAAGTTGTTTCGTGGATTAGAAGCCAGTTAAAAACGGTGAAAATGAAACTTGAACAACTGCAGGCTATGGTATTTAGAGGGATTACTGGAGCGATGAGAACCACGCTAACTTTTCCGTTGGGTTTAATGCTGGCAGAAGAACCTTTACAGATTTTAACGGTCAAGAAGGCTGACTTCAAATACAAGGAAAATGAAGAGCTAGGGGGCATCACACAAAACTACCAACTTTTATACTGAAAATCCCAGAAAATAGTATGGGATAAGACAGAATGGTCAAAAGAGTGAAATTTAAAGCTCGCTTTAAAACTATTATTCCTTGTAGAATGGATTGGAAGAAAGGCTGTCCACTTGAAGGTCTGCGCTATAATGACTTGCGCAATGATGTGTCTTGAAAAAGGAAAATCAGGCAAAAGAATCAATATATGTGTCGATAGCCAGGGGGCTTTAAACGCCTTGAGTAATCCGACTATTGCATTTAAACTAGTTTGGGAATGCCGCAAGGTATTAGATGAACTAGGTTTGAAAAATAAGCTCTCAGTATTATATGTACCAGAACACTCGGGAATCAGAGGAAATAAAGAAACGGATATTCCCCCCGTAGAGGGTCTAAAATAACTATGGTAGGCTCAGAACCGGCGGTAGATATTATTCCAGGCGCGGTGAAAGCGACCATAGAAAAATGGTCTAGGAGATGTTATGGAAAAGAGTAGGAGACGCATGAAAATCCCCTAAACTTCATGTAACAGAAATGCCATTTGACAGAAATTTATATAACAGAAATTTTATTGGACAGAATATTTACATGGCAGACAATTCATATAACAGACTTTTCATTAGACAGACGTTTGATTGGACAGAATTTTTATCGAACAGAAATGTCACTTAACAGAAATTTTATCTGACAGAATTTCCATTCAACAGAACATAAGTATAGCAGAACTCTCATTGGATAGAATATTTACACGGCAGACGATTCATATAACAGACTTTTCATTGGGCAGACGTTTGATTGGACAGAATTTTTATCGAAGAGAAATGTTACTTAACAGAAATTTTATCTGACAGAATTTCCATTCAACAGAACATAAGTGAGTCGCCGGAAAGTAAAACAACATATAAACTTCTGACTCTCATTGAATTAACATGGCCGTCAGAATTTTATGTGTGGTTTTACTTTCCGGCGACTCAAGTATAGCAGAACTCTCATTGGTCATAATTTAACTTTTGCATCATACATTCTTGTCCCTGCTATATTTTTAACCTGTCGGTAAAGTAGACGTAGCAGTCAGTAGTTGCTATTTCTTTCTCGCGCCAAAATTTGAATATTAAATAATAAAACTAATATTTTATTTATTTATAATTATCAGGTATTCATTATCAATAATAATGAAATAAAATATTAGTTTTATTATTTAATATTCAAATTTTGGCGCGAGAAAGAAATAGCAACTACTGACTGCTACGTCTACTTTACCGACAGGTTAAAAATATAGCAGGGACGAGAATGTATGATGCAAAAGTTAAATTATGACCAATGAGAGTTCTGCTATACTTATGTTCTGTTGAATGGAAATACTGTCAGATAAAATTTCTGTTAAGTAACATTTCTGTTCGATAAAAATTCTGTCCAATCAAACGTCTGCCCAATGAAAAGTCTGTTATATGAATCGTCTGCCGTATAAATATTCTATCCAATGAGAGTTCTGCTATACTTATGTTCTGTTGAATGGAAATTCTGTCAGATAAAATTTCTGTTAAGTGACATTTCTGTTCGATAAAAATTCTGTCCAATCAAACGTCTGTCCAATGAAAAGTCTGTTATATGAATTGTCTGCCATGTAAATATTCTGTCCAATAAAATTTCTGTTATATAAATTTCTGTCAAATGGCATTTCTGTTATATGAAGTTTAGGGGATTTTCATGCGTCTCAAGAGTAGACGGAGACTGGGTTCGACATTGCCGGGGTTAGGTGCAACGGGTCTTGCGACTTCAGTGCTGGCGGGACACTTGCAAGGACCTGCACAGCACTCGTAGACAATGTCCGATAAGCAGAGACGATACGTGAAGTAATACATCTCTGCGCGGACAGCATTTTATTTCGCATGGTAGAACATCTATTCGTTCTCAGGGAGGGGGCTCATGCTGGTGTTGCGTAAAGCAGCTTAGCGTGGGCTCGTTACTAATTTCATATTAACGATTTTAAAAGCCAGACCCCATGGATCCTTCTCGACGTCCTCGACTAGGTCCTTCCAGCTACGGCGTCGCGACGTACGGATGTCTTGGCTAAAGTTCTTTTTGGCCTCCTTGTATGCTTCCTTGAGCAAAGGATCTCCCTTAGATCAGATATAAGTCGTTCTTGCTCTGAAACACGCCTTTCGCAAGGAGGACAACCTTTCTGACCACCAGTGCAAGGATCTCTTCCTGGGGAATGTAGTATTGCGACGCGGCATTGACGCATCGCAGACGGTGACGATTATATTTCTTACAGCCCGCACTTCCCCATTAAGACTGTTCGGCCTCCTTACCCAGTTCAACTCTTGAATTAAGCAGGCTTCTTGAAGGGACTGGCCGAAAAATGGCAAAATCTACTGAGCGGCACTGTATATACTATAAGAATCTACAGTTATTAGAAAATTGATTTTTTGAAAAAAGATGTGGTGCTAACCTTTTAAAGCAAAGTTAAAAAAATTGAAACAATTTTTTTTTATTATGTCAATTAATATAACAAATTTAAACTATTGGCATATTCTTTTCTCGTTAAGGACTAACTTTTTAAGTAGTACTAGTCATCTTTGCAAGCATTTTTCGAGTCTTTTCAGATAGTGAGTTAAAATTTTTTCAAAGTGGTCACAATATTTAGTGAGTAAAAATTAGCTGTTATTAATAACTTTTCGGCTTATGAAAAAAATTGGCATACACATTCGATCTATCCCAGACAGCACAAAAACTTGCAACAACCTTGCAGCATTATAAAAATGACAGGTTCCGAAGCTGGCGCGGCAAGCTTCCCACAAGATTGCCTCACGTAACAAAATGTCCCACTTTAGCAAGCTTGCAATGAAAGGTTGCTGCAATCTTTCAAAAAAATGTATCTGCAATTTTGCAATGACAGATTGTTGCAATTTTTCAGTGAAAGCTTAATGTAAGCTTGCAATAAAAGGTTCATAAGTGCTTAAAACAAGCTTACAATATGCTTCTGCAATCTTACAAAAGACTTTTGCATGCATTTTGTTGCTTGAGGCAATCTTGCTGGAGGCTTGAGGGGCAAGCTTAGGAACCTGGCATATTTATAATGCTCCAAGGTTCTTGCTAGTTTTTGTGCTGTCTGAAATCAATTATTCTATGACAATTTTGAAAATCTAGAAAATTGGGAGTTATGCTCCAGTGTTAGTAGGGGTTTGTGCCTCACATCATATTTAACAGTTTTTAATTCTAATACGCACTTTTTATTTTTATTTCGCATTATTTATGAAGAATTGAAATGTTTTATGCAATTTAAATATTGTTCTTTAGTGAAATGATATATTTTACATCTGTAATAATTTAATTTTATCTAAATTATCTAAAATTAATCTTTTATTATCTTATCGATTACTTTACTTTATGTAAATTATCTTACTTTTCACATTTCCTAATTTAAATAAAGAAACTTGACATAAACATTTTATTACAGAAGGTACAGTCATTTAAAAGCTTTACAACACAGAAAAATAAACAAATCAAGTGCTCATAGACAGATACATGATGATTTTTGTAACAAAGGATCTATAAACTACAGCTTTTTAAGATCAAGTTTTCAAAAAGCAGCACGTCCCGTGTAAGTATTCTCAAAAATAATTAATTTCATAAAAATTACAAAACAAATGACAGTTTTTTATTAATATTTGAACTAGCAACTTTGTCGTTTGCAAGCGGCCAACTACGTTGCTAGTGTGCATTAACCATATTTTTTATTCATTTTTTTTTCAAAAAAAATTTAATATTAAAAATGTAAAAAAAAAATTTCTTTACATTGGATCTACCACCCAAGTAGCACGGAATATTGCTTGAATGTCAAGCTGATATCAACGGGGAATATTTTTGTGACATTCAGGCGATATCATAATGTCCTCTTCACGGGGACATTCTTCCGTGATGTATCTATGGGACGGTCTTTTACACAAAAAATGTAACGCGTTACAAAACTTACATTCTACATTTATTAAATCTAAATAATTCTGTGGAACTTTACTTTCATCTAAATCTTCAAAAGACATTATTGCAACTCCTGCACTTTTTTTATTCCGATTATCGTTTTTACATGTCAAATTCTTTTCTTCACATATTCTTTTCATCTTTCGTAGCCGTAGAAATTTTTTTCTTCTTACATAACAAATTATTTTCTTGACGCACTTTCTTTTTATCTTGAGTTTCCATTGATATTTTTCTTTTCCTACATGCCAAATTTTTATCCTTGCGTATTTCCTTTCCATCTTCAGTTTTTATAGATAATTTCTTTTTTTTGCATGTCAAATTTTTTTTGCGCTCTTTCTTTTTTATTTCTGTTTTATTACGATTACGTTTTCTCAATCTCTCATTCTCCTGTCTTGTTATTTTCTGCTCATATGTAACTTCGCTCCTTGCCTTCCTTTTTCTTCCCTTCTCTTTTATTGCTCGATTTATCTTTTTATCATTTTCTTTACTCAGAAAATTTTTCATTTTTAAATATTCATGTGGTGAAATTTTGTTCACCTTATTATCAGTAGTACGAATTATTTTCTTTTCACTAGTGTCATTTAGAGAATGTTTAATTTTTAAATCTTGTGTTAATAGAACTCTGTTAATATTATTACTGGGAATATAATTACTAAAAATATAATATTTATGTTCCTGTGTTCAATTTATGAAAAGATGGTTCTAATCATTCTCTATTATCGAATTCCTATTGTGAGACGTTCTTACTGTCGGAAAATGATTTAAGCGATTATTTTCAAACATTGACTTAAAATTGTTTCTTATTTTGTTATTATCAGTTTCATAATTTACACGGTTTGGCATTACGTTAAATAGTATAGATGTTGCAAATGCTATTGCATATACTCCACACTCAACACTACCAAAAGGTTGTTGATCAACAGCTTCAAAAATTAAGGCTATCAAAAATATAAAGCCTTACTCTATCGTAATAGACACAAATTCAGTGACCATAATTGTTATTACCGCTAAAAAGTATTTGAATATGTTTATCACCGTCTCTAATTGGGACAATAAAATCAAGCATTTATACATACAAAGCACTTTGCATATTGAAAAAAGAATTGGAATCTTTTCTTAATAAATCTTCAAATTTGTACATATGCATGTAATTTAACAATTTATTCCAATTTATTCCAATTTATTCAATAATTTTTAATTTTTTATCACTTAAAATAACATACTCTTTTATGTTGGGAGTAGTATAGTTCGTTTAATTTTATTTTTGATTCATGAAAATTAAATGATTGAACGAACTTACCTTAAGTGATGTTCAATCGCAATTGTATGAGCCGCCTCGTCCTTCTAGATCAATATACGTAGATGTTTAAAGTAGTAAGCGATTTTGTATGATTATATTTGTAATAGAAATACTCTCTTTGATCCTAGGCATCTAAAAGATATATATATATATGAAAAGTTAATATGGCTTTAAGTTTGCAAATGCAGAACATTTAAGCAAAGATTAGGTGGTATAAGATTTTTTTTGAGTAATGGCTGCTGTGAAGGATTCTGACACGATTCAATGGTCGATTATGAAGTCGTGTAATAATGAGGAGTAGGTGAACTCACCCTTTTTAAGAATATTTTTTATCCATCGACTTTTGGTTAGGGTACTTCTGCTACACACAACTCTGGTTAATTCGCAAAAAGTCGGTATTTCGAGAGCGGTTGTATCTCGCCCTGTCTGTTGACTTCGATCGGACAGTGATTTTAATTTTAATGAATTTTGTCTAAATTGACGAATTTTCCTCAGTATTCAGTTCGTGATGAGATGTGAATGAGTCGCTAACTTCACTCTTAACGTTTCCAAAGAAAAAGAAGTTTTGTCGTTTGGATATGGTGTTGAGAATTGTTGAGATACACATTCATGGTCCCAAGTTTCGTATCTGGACCTTGACGGTTTGATCGATACGCCATTAATGAACCTGGCACTGCTGGGATTTTTGCGGATTTCTATGTCCGTCAATACATTCTTGTGCTCGGCAAACTTCCAGAGTATTGTGAAAAAAACGTGTGATTGTCAATGCTTGGGTCAAGAATTGCAGGCATCTAAACACTAAAACCGGTACTGATTTAGTACTTTTCCGTACTGTTTTAGAACTTTCTTTTTACAGTGAACAGTTGAGTTGCAGAGAGTCTCAGGATTATTACTTTGTTAGTATTTCCACAAAAGTTAGATAGGTTTGCTGTGTGAATCGTGATTAAATAAGAGATCAATTAAATTTCATCAATTTTGTTTTTTAATCAAACATGTTCGATTTTTAAAACGTGAATAATCGACCAAATAATCGTTATTAAAATCTTGCAACAAATGATTCAGTGAAATCAAATATAAGTACTTTTATCATATGTTAGTACTTTCGGATTCGATTCTTATTTGAATGTGTTCAATTTTTAAAACGTAAAAAATCGATCAATAATTATTATTCAAATTTCAAAAACAACTGATTAATCGGTGTCGAATATAGAAAAGATGATTAAAATAGAGATTGAATTCTATTAATTTCGCTTTTTTAACGAATGTGTTTGATTTTTAAAACATAAAAGATAGATTGAATGATCGTTATTCGAATTTCCGATTTCAATTCCAATCTGTAAGATGTTCTTTTCTTTATGAATGGTAGTCAGATGAGTATATCGCTATCAGAGGAAAGCGATTGGTGAAGCGAATGCATTTTCCTGTGAGGGAAAATTAATAAGCTTTTGGTAATAATATTATTCTGCGAAAAATTATGCCAAGATTTTTTAATTTTAGTAATTTTAATTTTTAGCAACAAGGAAAAAACTATCAATAAAGAACTTTTATCAGGTTGAAAAATGATTGGTTTTTCAGCAGTTAATGGCATTGACGTTGGTTCGTTCATGGTTGAGTGGGCCCGTCGGGAACCACCACATCCCTTCTGTTTTCTTAATTTGAGCCCTTAGTACTACTCGTAGAGTATGAGTTCAAAAGTAGGAGAAACCTAGAAAAAATGAAATATACAAACGTATATTGCCACTCAGTTTCTTGTGGTATAGGGTTATGGAGTTCGTTCGTGAATGTGATTAGTCGATTTGTTGTGTTGTTTATCCAAACTTCTAAATTTGACTGTATTTAATTAAAAAGAGCTATTGTCACATAGTATTTACTATTTATGTTATTTAGTTTCGAATATTTTTCGTGATATTTGACTTCTTTCTATACAGTCAGTAGTATATTATAATGTGGGATACCCAGCAACTACATATTGGAAATTAATTGTTGATAATTCCTGGATTGAGTTGTATTTTCACTGATTTATGTCCAGGTGATTTCAACAACTTCAAGCTGCATGAATGTTCTGCAGTAATTAATTTGTCGAACAAATTTATTTTACTAAAATAATACCTTACTTTCTTAATTCTTTGCATGATTTGAAGAGTTTTGTGAAATAACCAGTTCTCTGCAAAGATCAAAGATCTTTGCAAAAAACCATTTAAATTCATTTTTAAAAGAATTGTATTATATATTTGGATATATTAGTATATCCGTAATATTTTATATATATTCATATATAAATTCATCACATCCATAATAAAAACCTTGATAAAGAAGACGCACAGACCGATTTTTATGCCTTCAATTTAAATTGTGAGATCGTTATAAACTTATTTTAACTTTTCAAAGTTGAATAAGAAAACGATCTTGAACCACTAGAGTTTTGGCTTAAAAAATGAGATGACAGGAAATCATATTTGCGTGGTTAACAAATGATAACCGTACCACGAGTTAGAATGTGATTGATTGGAGATGCCCGTTCAGTTTATATTTTTCGCGGATGATAACTCAGCAGCCTTCTTCCTGTTTTGTTGATTGGCTCTTGCTGAAATTTAACAGCACTGGATTTTCTAATGCATTTTTTGTCTATTTTTCGACTTCATTAGCAGATTTTATTTTTTCTGCAAAAATTGTGCCAAATACAATATGTATCGACATTTGATTCTTCGGTTATTTTGTTTATTTTTTGAGAATCAATATGAAGGACAAAATTATGAGAAAAAAAAACTAGGAGTTATTAACATGTCATATTGTAATTCAGTTAGACCGAACTACTTGAGTATAGTTTCATATTGCTTTTGTTCGCATCAAAAAATCTGGTGAAGTGCAAGAGCACTGTTGAATGCTCTAAGATTATTTTGAGCACGTATTTTAGTGAACATTATTATTATTTGCGATGCTCTTCGCAGGAGACACTCTGCACTAAATACATATATATTTATTTTATTTATGTATTTTTATAAATGATAAATAAATTTATTATCATTATCATTATTATTAATATGGTTAATACCCGCTTATGGTTCTCAAAGGACTGCAGGGATATGTATTGAATAAATAAATATTTGTGAAGTTCCTCGCAGGAGACGCTATTTAATAAATAATTAATTAATTAATTTTATTAATCGATGATTAATTAAATTAATATAAAATTAATTTATAAAAAAAATAATGATAATAATATTAGTTGGTATGAATTCTTTACCACTTGTTTCGGTTATGTTTCGGAATTTATGAAGGTTGCACTCTTGGAAAAAATTTTCTGTAATAAAAAATTTTCAGTC